CAATATTTTCACATATACAAACATAGTATTATTATATTTTTATTGAGTAGTGCACTGAACAACTATGACATTGTTCTGAGAGTTCTCTCATTTAGAGCGACGAAACAAATATATTTTATGAATTTTTTTTCGCGCAGGTAGAAAATTTCACGTATGTAATTGTTTTTGGAGATTATTTAATACTGTATGAAAAATATTTATTAACTTACAGGATATTGTAATAAAAGCAAAGAGGTTTCATTTCGTACTTCTTGATTCTGTAAATATTCTTTTATTTCATACTACATACCTGTATAATCAAAATTATTCTTAATATTGTTAAACAATTCATAATCAAACCTATGAACCTGCTCCGCAAACCGACTCCGCAAAATAATTAATAAAATATATTTCATTTTCTTGGCGCCGAATATTATTAATACTATTACAAATAATATTACAAATGATATAAATTTTTACAAACAAAATTGTAAAAATTTGTATTATTTGTAACATTATTATAAAATTACAAATAAAATTACAAATAATAAAAAAAATAATATAAAAAATAATATATTAATAATAAAATATTATTTGTAATAATTCGGTGCGCCGAGTAGAAAAACTTCTCAGTATTGTCATAGAGAGGAGAGGAGAGAGAGAGAGAGAGACAGTCGCGCCGCGATTCAGATTATGGGCAAGAAAGAATTAGGCTCGCTCGCTGAGCGAGAACGAGAGCGACAAGGAGGGAATGATATTCTCTCTCTCTCGCTCGCTCGGCGCGTCGACGATTGCCGATCGCGTGGCTCACACGGATTGACCGAGCTGGCTGTGTGCGTGCATGAAAAGGGGGGGGGAGAATCCTCGTGCAAGCCTGTCACCAAATTCGCATCACTGATACCAATGATGTCAAAACCGAACAAGCTGCGGACAAGCGTAACTTTTAAATACCGGAGGTCAACTGTTTATCAGCTCATAGACAATTAATATGACGAGATACCCGCGGAGACCCGTGTACTTCTCTTTCGTCTTTGCGTACAATTGCGATCAATAAAAATTTTCACGAATTGTTCGGTTTTGACATCATTGGTATACGTGTGTATGTGTGTGTGTATGTGTACACGTACAATTGCGATATACACTTATCACGTTAGCATTGATCATTTTTATTCATGCTAAAAGAAATAAGTATGATTATGTAAAGAATTTGTCTGCGTATTATTATACATTCTACATAGTTCTCCCTGTGATAGTAAAAATAACACTTGAACAACCTGTACGCTCATATCACAAAGCCTGATCCGCTGCGCTACTGAAGCAAATTGGTAATTCTTCTGCTATAACGACATTAACAGAAAAGACTAAACTTCAAACTGCATTTCTCAAAAACGTTTAAGATTTGCACCGTTTTTGGATAGCATTTGTTACTATTACATCAATATTATACTTTTCTAAAAGCAAAATCGCGCGGTGATTTCAAGGATGAAGATTCCTCTTGTATGAGATATTAATTATTCATTCTTTATTAATGGGAAAAGATTTTCCTTTGGTTTAAATGTTTGAGAAAAGTTATTTGTCCTCTGAGAATCTTTCAATTTTTATGTTCGTGAAAAGTTATAAAATTCGTAAAGAAAGAAAATTATTTTACTACCTGTTATCACACCTATCTGTTCAAGAGTTGCGCATAAGAGATATTTTAACAAATCTGAATCTGAATCAGTTGACAAATTAAATTTTTCATTCAAAGAAGCATATGTAGGGTAAGCATAAGTAAGATAAGTATAAATAATAAATTAAATATTATTCTCTGAATATAATAATAAATATTTTTTTCTTTAGCTGAATCATCGAAGTAAATATTCTATTATAAATTGACTTTTCGGATTACAATATTAATTTGATTTTTCAGAGTACGCTTTCAAATTGGCTCTTCGGAATACGCTATTAAATTGATTTTTCGGAGTACACTTTTAAATTGACTCTTCTGACTACACATTTTTTAATTGACTCTGTAGAGTACATATTTTTTAATTAACTCTTCGGACAGAAGAGAAGAGAAACATTTTATATTTTATTTAAAAAATCTTAATTTTTGCAAAAAACTGATTGATAAAGAAAGAAATTAATTCACGACCTCAACGAAGATCTTAAAAAAATTACTGCAAGAAATGAAGTTATTATTATATACCATATTGTACAATATTAAAACACACGCGCAATAATTATCTATAATTTGCATATATGGACGTTTATGTAATTATAAGTAATATAAAAGTCATGACAAATTAATGTGGCCGCACGTTATCTCTGTCGCGTCATTGCTAGAAATCGTCCGAACTCTCGAAATTAATTTCTTCCCGAATTATGAATATAAAACAATGTGGAAAGGAAAACAAGGGGGTGAAAGGGGAGACGGCGATGTCTGCCTTACGATAACATCGCTGCTGGCTCGCTTCGTCGCGATTGTCTATTCGCTGGTGGTGAGACAAAGACCTATTCTTCGTTTTTATCTAACTAATCTAGCCCGCTCGTGAACATAGCATAGAACAGAACCAAATAATTATGGAGATAGCACGGAATAGTACCAACAAATCGTGGACATTGGCTTAGGGTAAATATAGAGAATTTAGGCCCATACGCCGATTTTTATGAGACTAGGCTTATTCGATGCGTTTTTGCACAAGAAACAACTTTTTCCTCTGGCAAAATCGGCGGTCTGCCCCACGAAGCGAGATATTAAACGTTAAAGTTGGCAATAGGGTAATTATGCACTTTAGAGAATGCAGTTGGTAAAGTGACGGCGAGGGGCTCCGCCCTTCGACAACAATTCCCTCTCCGCCAATTGGATTTTATTGATTTTCAAGCCACAGAACGCACACCTGGGATGAAATACAGTTCAAAATAAAAAATATTTTCTTTAAAAGGAAATATAATTAGTAAATAAAGTATAACTTACCTCACGACAAAAACTTGACCAATCAACAATAGTTTTATCGCTGAGTTCTAATTCTTCTTTATAGAATGCAGAGCGCGGAGGACGTATCATCAGAAAATACCCAATAAAACGGACAATTGTCGTAATATCGAAATTAGTATTGGCTAGCCACGTACTACTTGTGAAACTTTGTTTAAATTCACACTGTGAAATTTTTTTCTTTTTATTTTTATGTTTAATAGTAGTCACTTTTCGACACCGAAACAATAATGTTGACATATTTAAAACAAGTTTATTATTATATCGCGGACATATCATTTCTGTATTTGTTATGCCATATCTTCGCAAACATTCTATTAATTCATTTCGGCGCTCACACATCCATAGAAATTCAAATAATTTCATTTTTCCATAAATTATAATCACAAGACCACTAACGATGAACTGAAGTATTCGATCGTCGATCGAAGAATATAACTTCCCAGTAAACACAGTTATGTAACAGTTACATTGTCGTAATGTAACGAAATGTAACACATAATATAACGTGTACGTTACAAGCAATATACATGTTAGTTGTAATTTCCCACTCATAGAAAGTTGCAGTTATATAACAGAAATATCATATGTTACTAAAATGTTATATAGCTGTTATATAACTGTAATATTATTGTTATGTAAAAAATTTACTTCTAATTTTCTCGCGTCTTGCGTCCCGTCGATATCTTTGATTCCAAGCGGTCACCCCTCCGTATGCTGACCACGCTACTAGGCTTTGCTTAACCTGACGACCGAGTGGCACGCAATTATCGCAATGACTCCAACGATGTTCTTGTGACTCGTATTTATATAATGTATCCTTATAGTATTCACAGAACATTATGACTTTTCATGTCAAAAATTAAAACAACGCAACAACATTCGATATGCGACGAATATCAATATAGACTATGTTTCAAAATTACTAATATTGGAATATTATAATGGTTAACCCACAAGAGAAATAGTTTGAAACAAATTTAAGGAAGTTTAAATAAGAAATTTTAATTACTAAATCTAAAAAAAACTTTTGAAAAATATTATCTCAAATCCTGTTTTTTATCAACATGGTTTTCTTCAATGAAATAAAGTTTTTTTCTAAAAATAATATTGCAAAAATATATTTTAATGGAACAACTCGAAATCGAACAAGTAAGAATATTAAACTTAAAGAAATTTTTCTCTATGTGAGTTTTGTATGATATACAAGCGTTCTTAAACGTTTAAATAGTATGAGTGTGGATATCTCCACGAAAATAAGAACGTTGTGTCCACGTGAAATCCATGTGGTTTTGTGGATTCCATGTGAATGCAACGAATGCGTTCTACGTGGATTCGATATACTTTTTTGTGGGAATATACATATCAGTATGCATATAAACGTCAATATGGTCTGCTTAAGCACGATGAAGGTATTAAAAATACATAAAAACATAGAACTACAAAATAAAACATCTACAAAAAAGCGGAACGGAATTTCTGATTGATTAGCTTTCCACCATTTTTTTATTTGTTTCTGTTCCGCTTTGTTATTTCTTTCTCTATCGAAATGTATTACTTTTATACAATACTTGTACAATACTTTTATTCGCAATAAAAAGCATTTGCAGCTTTTAATAGACTGCATGAATAGTTGTATTGTATAACATTAATGTAATATGAACGTAATTATTGTTATATAACGTGTTACATTACTGTTATATTATTATTATAATGTTATCTCTAGTTTATAACAAAACAGTGTAACAGATTTATAACAGAATTATATTACAACTATGAAACCAAATTATATAACCTCAATATAACTACCCAGAAAACAACGAGGTCTTGTAGATGTCTAAAAGATATCTTATGAAAGATTTCTTTAAGATATTTCTAAAAGATATCTACAAGTTGTCTATAAGATATCTAAATAGATGTAGTGGAAGATATCTTTGTAGAATTTATAAAAGATATCTATAGACATCTGAAAGATATCTTAAAAGATATCTTCAATATATTTGTAATAGATATCTAAATGATATCTTTTAGAAGATATCTTTAAGAGCCGATTGTTTCAACTTCTTGGTAAGTTAAATAATAGTTTAATCATAATTTGTCTGTCTAATTTAAGGAAGGAATAAAAATAGACAAATTAACTAATTACTTTAAACTTGGAACAACCGGCCCTAAGGCCGGTATTCTATAAGAAATTGTTCTCCTATGGGATATATCGTATCATCCGATCTCGTGTGAATCTTCAATTATATTTAAGACATTCTGAAGTTCATCTTGGCTGCATTCCCTAATTCACGGCCAATACTGAAAATCTGTAGTTCATGTAACGTATATAGAATTTCAGTGCTGTCAGTGAATTACAGAACGCAACCCTTGAGATACTTCGTAGCCAATAAAATAATCCGTGCAACATAACAACAAACAACAGACAAATAACAACAAAGAACAGCCCAGATAGCAAAATGTGCGCAAACATGTCTTTTAGACTTCTAAAAGATGTCTAAAAGACGTCCTACTTCTTTTAGAAGTTTTTAAACATCTTTGTAGACATTGTGCTATCTGGGAGGTAAACAAAAACAGATCGATTGCGTATCTTGAAACGTGGTGAATTCTAGTAAATTCACTCACTTTTGTCATTCACTTGTTTCAATACACGCAATCGACTCCCAGACCTCGTGACTTCCTACCGAAAAGAAACCGTGCGGTTCAAGGATCCGATATTTATCAAAGGTAATCCTCGAAATCCTTCAAATTTACAATTGTATCTGTCTTTATACTTAAATCCTTTTGCCATTCAATGTTTAATATTTTCTGTGCGATTTGTATAACTAAGAATATTTTAATATAATTTACTCTATCCTAACCTTATGTTTTGCTGGAAAATTAATGTTAGTAATAAATGTGCTACATTTTGTACTTCAATGAACATTAGGATTTTAATCAATCACATTTTATGTTTAGGTTTACAACGGAATTGACACAATATTCGGACTGTACCAGTAGTATTTGGTTGTTTTCCTCCGTCTTCACACAATTATCGCCATAGAAATGATCTAATTTAATGAATTACTTGCTGATAAATTCCTCGATAAGGTATTCAAGTAATGATTACGATTCTTTGAAAAATTGAAAATTAGAAATAACATAACAAGCAAATAACCAAACCTGTGCGAGCAATCTATTAGCAGTATTTGTGACACAATCCTCCATTACATTTAAGACCTTCTGAAGCTTATCTTGGCTACATTCCCTAATTCACTGCCAGTACTGAAAATCTATAGTTCATGTAACGTATACTATAGCATTTCAATGCTGTCAGTGAATTACAGAACGCAGCCCTTGAGACACTTCGTAGCCAATGAAATAATCCGTGCAACATTTGATTAGATAGTTCAGCAGTGCAATTCCAAACAACAGACCTCATGACTTCCCACCGAAAAGAAACGTGCGGTTCAAGGATCCGATATTTATCAAAGGTATCCTTCGAAATCCTTCAAATTTACAATTGTATCTGTCTTTATACTTAAATCCTTTTGCCATTCAATGTTTAATATTTTCTGTGCGATTTGTATAACTAAGAATATTTTAATATAATTTACTCTATCCTAACCTTATGTTTTGCTGGAAAATTATAATGTTAGTAATAAATGTGCTACATCTTGTACTTCAATGAACATTAGGATTTTAATCAATCACATTTTATGTTTAGGTTTACAACGGAATTGACACAATATTCGGACTGTACCAGTAGTACTTGGTTGTTGTCTTCCGTCTTCACACAATTATCGCCATAGAAATTATCTAATTTTATGAATTACTTGCTGGTAAACTCCTCGATAAGGTATGTTCAAGTAATGATTACGATTCTTTGAAAAATTGAAAACTAGAAATAATATAATAAGCAAATAACCAAACCTGTGCGAGCAATCTCTTAGCAGCATTTGTAACACAAAGGCAATAGATTGCACACAGTATGTATTAATTAGGTTTTTATGGCAGATTCGTGGTATATTGCGTGCAGAGCCTGCTAATAGACGTTAGCAAGATCTGCATTCTGCCATCAAGCTGCTGTCAGAGCTGTCATAGATTGTGTTAGCATACTCTGCCGGCAGTCTAACAACAGATTGTGGACACAGATGTCTGTGGATCTGTCGCCAATCTGACGTCAGTATGTGCACTGATTGTTTCAGATTTGAGGGTTTCATGGTCGGTGAATTTCTTCATTGTAATAGTTTCCGGTTGAGTACCGCGTCCTGAAACAGTTTTATGTCGACGTTTCGCTAACATTGCAGTTTGCATCTTCAAGGCTGAGGAGTCCTGATATTGAATTTTCCTCTTTCGTGAGTGTGCTTAGGTATCCCTTTCCTTGTGTTGAAGAAAGAAGAGGAGAGAATAATTAATATCAAAGCTCTCAGCTCTTAAGATGCAAACTGCAACGTTTCTGAAACGTCGATATAAAGCTGTTCCAGGACGCAGTACTCATCTGGACGCTACTACAAAGAAGAAATAGGATATGATGTTTCTTTTTTAATCTACACGAAATATCTTTGTAATAAAATCATTGATATTCATTCAAAGATAAAATTAAAAAATATAATAGTTTAAAAGATATTTCATACTCTGGCATAATTAATATAATAATATTAAATATTAAATATCTGGAATAATTTCACTTTTTCATATATTCGATATTCGATTTTCGTATTTTTATATGTGGAAGAACTACATATTATTTATTAAATATTTTGCCTTTATATCATGAAATTTTCATCATTTGTATGTAGGTTTCAAACGACATATAATAAAAAAATTAATAATGCCGAAAAGAAAAAGATATAACGATTTGAGTCGGTCTCAACAATGACGTCGGCGACAAAATATTGATTGTGCAGTACATACTATTGATACAGGCGATACATATAATATTAATTTAGACATTGAGATTCCTCATGAAATGTCTAATGACAATATTCTTATTGAAGAGAATAGTAACAATTATTTGAATAATAATAATATATATATGTATGGAGATGTCGAAGAATGCAATCAAAGAATTGATTCTTATTCAAATTGTAGTTATTCAGAATCTGATATGGAATTGATTGCCGAATGCAATAATCAATGTTATAAAGATTTGAGTTTTAATGTACAGAAAGAACTTGCATTATACAAATTTCTTCGGACATGGAGTCTTGAGTATAACATTACTCATGTGGCTCTAACAAAATTGCTTCAAGGTCTCAAAATCAATGGATATGAAAAGCTTCCTTGTAATGCGAGAACTTTATTGGGAACTCCGAGAACAACATCAATAATTAAGAATCATTCTGGTACTTTTTATTATCATGGATTGCAGACAGCATTGAAGAATCATTTACGATATAATAAACCTCTCCATGAACGTTGTGAAAATGAAATTAAAATCAACTTAAGCATTGACGGACTACCATTGGCAAAGAGTTCTAAATCGCAATTTTGGCCACTTTTAGGGCAAATTGTCCACGTTCATTATAGAGAAAAACCTTTTGTCATTGGAGTATTCCACGGATATTGTAAGCCGAAGAAACCGAATGAGATTATTCATCAATTTATTGAAGAATATAGTGAAATTCAAAATAAAGGATTCCAATATCGAGGAAAAAAATACAAAGTTTTAATAAATGCTATAATATGCGACGCCCCGGCAAAAGCATTCATGAAATGTATTAAAAGTCATACAGGATATTATGGATGCGATAAATGTGAAGAGGAAGGTGAATGGAGGAACAATCGAATGTTATTCCTTAATGAAAATGCTCCATTACGCACAGATGCAAAATTTTTATTACGACATAATGAAGATCATCATGTGGATAATTCACCTTTTGAAAACATTGGATTGAAAATGGTAACACAGTTCCCATTAGATTATATGCATCTTGTTTGTCTCGGTGTCATGAAAAGACTTATAAATATGTGGATCCGAGGAATAAAGGGCATTAAACTGCGTGCTTCTCAAATTGATCAATTATCTATAGATTTAAAGCAGTTAATAACATACATACCTAGAGAATTTTCTAGGAAACCAAGAGGTTTAGATGAATTAGATCGCTGGAAAGTGACAGAATTTAGACTGTTTCTCTTATATACTAGTCTATCAATTTTATGGTCATATTTGCCAAATGATTATTTGAGACATTTTTATGTTCTACATTGTGCAATTTATATTCTTTGTAATCCTGCCGATTGCGAATACAATAACGAATATGCACATGAATTATTAGTACATTTTGTACAAACATTTAAAATGTTATATTCTGAGAACTACGTTACATACAATGTACATAACTTGGTTCATTTACATGTTGATGTTAAGAATCATGGGTGTCTGGACATGTTCAGTGCTTTTCCATTCGAAAATTATTTTCAAGAAATGAAACGAATGCTACGAAAAAATGCACAACCGTTACAACAATTGCACAGACGATTAATGGAAAAATGTCAAACTGTAAGAAATATTGGGTATAAACCTGAAGAATATCCCATTCTTCAAAATGCCAAGAACGAAGAATTATTGTTTGGATGTACACAATCTCATAAAGAAATAATATTTGAAAAATTTACACTATCCTGCATCAAAGAAGCCGATTTTTATTGTTATATGAATAACAGAAATGTTCTCATGATTGAATATATTGGAAAAAAGAATGGAGAAACAGTAATACTTGGAAAAAAGTTAAAAAATTTCGATAATATATCTTCATATCCATGTGATTCGCGAAATTTGAAAATCTATGTCGGAAATGAATGGTCTGAAATTGGAATGTATCCAATAAGTCAAATAAGCGCAAAAGCAATGCGACTTCCTTACAAAGATACATTTTGTATAATTCCTATTCTACATACTAATGATTGAAGTGAGTTGTTATTTTTTATAAAAACAACTGTAATAATTTATAAATAAAACTACTAATTTATAAATTGTATTATATCATACATAAATATATTATATTATACAAATAATATTGTTTAATCCAATTTGTAATTATGATAGATATTTATATAAATAATAAGTTTTATATATATAAATATTTTTTAACAATAAATTATGACAAGTTTGAACCATAATTTGGATGCTTTAGGATAGAAAATCATAATAATTATGAGTGAAATTATTTTCATTTATTCTCTTAAATACTTCATCATTACTTAATCAGTATTTATTGTTACAGATGTATTACGTCGTATTTTGGGACGAATACTGCCAAGTCGTTCCCGATTCTTGGGTAAACTTTAATGCAAAAACATTTACGTTTCCATTGTCTAAAAAAAATATTACCAATACAATAAAGAAGAAGATAAGTCCTGGAAATGATTGGAACATCAGTCATTTTCATAAAATTTTAGGACCTTACAATACATTTGATAAGGCTCGGGAAGCAGAAAAATCTTGTATTGATATATCCACTTCGGATGATATTCAATTTGCTTCTTTAAATGAACCAATCCAAACATTGCCTCTGAAACGTTTGATAACGAAAAAAAAATTTTATGACGATGAATCGAATAATTACGTGAATAATTGTAAGTTTCAAATTCTATTACAGCAAATTACAAAATATAATATGATAAAACGTAAAGTAGCACATTGAAAATGAGTAACAAAACTAATTTACTAATATAATTATATACTATATATAAGTATATAATTATAAAGATAAGTATATAATTATAAAGATAAGTCGTAAATCGTTGAAAAAACTAATTTTCTATAAAATATAGGTAATATTTCCAAGAAATATAAATCAAATCAACATCCCCCATCAAATTATAAAATACACGAAGGGATTGGAGCTACATCTACAAATGTTGAACTTGAGAAAAATTCATTACATTTTAGATCAGTGAGTTCGGAATATAACGTGCAGAAGCGGGTGAATACTACAAATATTAATGATTAATATATAGAGAAAAATAGCGCTAATTAGGACGTGCTTTTATTCAGACATCGATTATTTTTTAATAATTTATAATTGGAATAATCGTAACTATCAATACATAGCTGCAAAATAGACATTTCACACGCATTTCTATGTTGTTCAGTGAAACAAAATAGTAGCATTTGATAAAACCATTTATATATTTATTACAATACGTGAATAATTATTACTTAATTAATAGTATTTTATATTTTTATTTATTTATATGTAAATATAGATGAGAGTTGAATAAATTCGGACAAAAATCGTTATTTAATTTATAAATACATACATAAATATATATTTGTACACACACACGTATATGTTAGATTTACACACACATACAATTTGTATATTAATATACTTTGAATTCCAGGAGGAAGATAAAATTTTATCCGTCAAAAATAATCCATCTAATTGCAATGTCCCTTCACCTTTAAATGAACACCAATTTTCAATTCAAGTTTTTCATGAGGATGAGCAAGATGATGAAGAGATGACGGATGATACTAATTCTCGTGATTATGATCGGAACATCGATAATAAGGAAAATGAGATAATTGGTAATGACAAATTATATAGCGGTATACTTTTTGTCATGGCATATATTATATAAAGTTAGTTGAATAAGTAAATTCAATAATCTGTGAACCTATTTCTATTATTTTATTTAGCGATGAAGGCTCTCCCAATTACAGAAATGAATGTAGACGAGGATATACATGTAATTATAAGTAAGATACATTTTTCTTTCATATAGATGAATACTTTCTTTCATATAGATGAATACTAATTGATTGATCATACTAATGAATACTAAACAGTGAAAATAGTAAATCATTTCTAAAAATTTGTAAATTTTAGTAATGTATTGTTTTAGTATTGTCATCATATATAATATAGTTATTATTATATTTCCAAAATACTTTTATCGTATATTGTAGTGTACAAAGTTATTAATAACATTAAAAAATTAGTCTCTGAAGATGCTTACAGTAAAATATGAATGATGAAATATAAATAGTTCTTCTTGCAGGTTCTTTATATGAAAAAGTAGATACTTTACATCAAGACTTTCAACAATTCAAAACAGAGATAAAACACGAAGCAGCTAAAAATAACACAAAATTGAAAGAAATAGTTGCTATTTTAAGAGAAAGTTTCCAAAGAAATGAAGAAAATGAAGCAATAACTATGGATTTAATGCCTGAATTTCCAATGACATCCGTCGAGGAATACGTACAATTTAATGAAACATTGAAAAATGATGAAGCAATTCGTAAATGTTTTGTAAGTATATTTTGAATAATGTGCAATTCAATCAGTGATTCATTGACTGATATGAAGAAAGTATTTATATTCATATGTGTGTGTGATATATATATATATATATATATATCACACACACATATGAATATATTGAATAATAAATATTTTCTTCATATCAGTCAATGAATCACTAATTGAATTGCACATTATATATATATATGTGTGTGTGTGTCTGTGTGTGTGTGTGTGTGTATGTGTGTGTGTGTGTGTGTGTGTATACAGAGTATTTGTTAACTAAAGGATCATATTCAATGGAGGCATAGAGCTGATTAAGATAAACAAAAGTCAAATATCTTTTTGCAAAAATCATAAAAATTACTGAGTAATGCATGAATAAAAATCGTGCATCGCAGCGGTAGTAAGAGGTGCGTTTGGTCGCTGAAGCTCGCATATCGAATCAAGTCGTCTAGCAATAGTTATCGGCGCGCGGCAAGAAGAAGAAAGGATTATTTCTGCACATTTTCCCTTCTGCTTGTCACGTGCCGGTAAGTATCGTTAGATGATTTAACTCGATCTGCGAGCTGCAGAGACCGAACGTGAGTTCTACAACCAATTTTTGTTCATGCATAAATCGGCTATTTTTATAATTTTTACTACATGATATTTGACTTTCTTGTTTATCTTAATCAGTTCTATGCCTCCATTGAATATGATCCCTAAACAAACACTCTATATATTCATACATATGTGTATGTGTACAAATACTTTCTTCGTATCCATCAATATATAATTTTATGCCCAATCGAAAACATTGTCGCATATGTGAAAATAGTTTGGTAGCAGGATTTCATATATCTTGCATCAAATTTATTGTTTACTTGCGATCTACTGTTGATGATATTAGATTGCACTCGAAATCTGCTCACATAGATTTGGCCATATGTATATAGTAATATCGAAATACGAATAATAATAAATAATAAAAGAAAAAAAGTCACGTATACGAACATTAACGTATATATTAACATTATTCTTTGCAGGAAAAGAAAATAAAGTGTATTGGTGGTGACTCTACACAAAAAATGATCTCCAATATACTCACATATTGCATAACATTTGATGTAGGACACAAGTTGACTTGGACTGGTGCAAAAAATACTATCGCAATCGAAATACAACTTTTGCAAACATTATAGTTAGTACGTATATTTTAACAATTACAAATAAACTATATATATATATATGTCTCTTAATTTTTCCAAATGTTAAATTCTCTTTTATATCATTTTCAAATATAGATACAAAAATACTTTTAAACATTATGATATGTAGGACTATAACTTGTCATAATGTTTAGAGTACTATTATTTTGTTTTTATATTAAATAGATATGAAATTTTTTCCAACCAGATATATCTACTAGTACTAAAAAACATATAAATACTATCCACAGGTACTGTCAATCGTACAAAAGGAAATGGACCTGACTGTACCATTGCATTGATTGTCAAGCATGTAAAAAACTGGCTGCAACATTGCAGGTGATAAAATGAGATATCGAAACAAAAAAGTGCAACAATAAATTACTCTGTAATTAGTATACAGAGTGCCCGATAATTCCGCTAAAAACCGCGATATGAAAATAGATTAAGTGAAACTGAAAAAAACAATTCCTCTATGATTTTGCGAAGAACGACGTAAAATTGTGTTATTAATTAAAGAAATAGCTAATGATCAATTAATTAATAATTCTATATTTTATGTGGTTCTTCGCAAAATGATATAGGAATTTTTCTTCATTTCACCTAATCTACCTGTACATCGGTTTCTAAAGCGAGTTACCGCACAGCCTGTATACTTAATAATAAGAAATTAATTAATTATATCTTGCATGGGCGTTGCCAGGAGGAGGCAGAGGAAGACGGTCCCCGAAACGTAGAAAAAAATTTATTTTTTATACGAAGGCGCTGAAGTTTTTTTTTTATTTTTTACCGGCAATAAGTGATAAAATTTATATAATTTTTTGCATTGAATGCTTAAATTGAAAGAGGTGGCTTGTGTATGGTCTGCCTGAAAAAAAATTCTGGCTACGCCCATATCTTAACAAGCAAGTAACGTTTTAACGCAAACAATGTTGTTACGTTATATAATTTATATGAAAACATATTTTATTATAAAACAGTCAAATATAAAGTGTAATAATTATAATATTTAATATATAATTAATAATTATATATTAATAATTAATATATAATTTAATATAATTTTTATATAATAATTATAAATATAATAATATATATATTTATAAATAAAAAATATATACACAATATATATATGTATGTGTGTGTGTGTGTTGTAATGTTAATATAATCGTCAATAAATATAATATTAACGCAATGCTATTATTTGTTATTCATTTCTCAATATTTATGTTTTTTAAAATATATTGAAGACTTCTAAAAGATATTTGTTAGACATCTTTGAGATATGTGTAAAAGAAATCTTTTAGATGTCTTTTACATTTCTGCAAGATGTTTTTTAAGACATCTTTTAGATATTTAGAAGATATATAAAAGAAATCTTATTAGAGATCTTTTAATACTCTATAAGATGTCTTTTTACATTTCTGCAAGATGTCTTTAAGACTTCTTCAGGATTACTTAAGGATATCTTCAAGACATCTTTAGATATCTAAAAGATATCTCAAAATGTTGCGTAAGACATCTTTTAGATCCCTAAAAGAAATCTTTTGGGGAAAAAAGTAAGATATCTCAAGACATGGCGAGATATCTTTTAGAAATCTAAAAGACATCTTTTTGGCTATTTGTAGTTAACATTGACTGTTCTCCTTGTTTAAAGTTATACAAGTTTGCTGGGTTTATAATTTTTGTATCGTGACAACACGAGAATTGTTTTTGTTCCAACGTGTACATGAGAACAGTGAGTGACCGGTCGATGCCGCCACAATGGCGGCATTCGCAAGTCGTCGTAAGAAGTCGATGCCGCCAGTTGGCATTCATGATCACCTGGCGTGCGGCACGCAAATGAGGCTAAAGCTAAGACTCCATGCATGCGGTGAGCTCCGGCAAACGGCTGTGGAAAGCGACTCCATATGCGCGGCAAAAGTCGCGTCACATCATTGATTCTTTCAGTCCTGTTTGCGTC